ACTTCCGTTAACATTAAGCCAATCACAGGCACTTCCGTTAACATTAAGCCAATCACAGGCACTTCCGTTAACATTAAGCCAATCATAGACACTTCCGTTGTCATTAAGCCAATCATGGACACTTCCGTTAATATTAAGCCAATCACAGACAAGTCCGTTAACATTAAGCCAATCATTGTCACTTTAATTATCATTAAGCCAATCACAGACACTTCCGTTAACATTAAGCCAATCACTGACACTTACGTTAACATTAAGCCAATCACAGACACTTCTGTTAACATCAAGCCAATCACAGACACTTCTGTTAACATTGAGCCAATCACAGACACTTCCGTTAACATTAAGCCAATCACTGACACTTACGTTAACATTAAGCCAATCACAGGCACTTCCGTTAACATTAGGCCAATCACAGGCACTTCCGTTAACATTAGGCCAATCATAGACACTTCCGTTATCATTAAGCCAATCACTGACACTTCCGATAATATTAAGCCAATCACAGACAAGTCCGTTAACATTAAGCCAATCATTGTCACTTTAATTATCATTAAGCCAATCACAGACACTTCCGTTAACATTGAGCCAATCACAGACACTTCCGTTAACATTGAGCCAATCACAGACACTTCCGTTAACATTAAGGCAATCATAGACGCCTTTATACAGTGATTGTATCGTTTTATATTGTCATTGTAGATATAAATGAATGCATGACAGTATATCCCTGTCACAACGATGGTTCATGTCTGAATACTGTCGGCTCCTATATGTGTTACTGCTTGGATGTTGGATATCGTGGGAGGCATTGTGAAGATGGTGAGATATTGAAAGCAACTTAATTAAATACTAGTATACTACAATTCATCTAAGACTTAAATGGCCTCTGAGATCTCGTTGAGAACAAGAAGTGCCGCAAGACTTGTTTTCCCACGCACAGTACGTTTTCCCTCTCACAGTATATTCTGTCATCGCGCCAACCTCTCCATTGATCCATGAAACTATAGTAAATGACATAGTGGATGCAGTGACCGGACAGAATGGAACACTGAGAGGTGAAAACACGTCTCGTGGCTCGCGCTATCGAGTACTCAGCGGCCATTTATATCTAAGATCTGTTGTATCTTCCTTACAACGTACTATCAGTTACCCAAAGATATGTATAACATTTATTATTATACATCTGTCACTGTAACGCCATGTGTGTCGTAATTTTGCGGTGTTTTACTGGGTATTTTCATCCTACCATATAAGGAAATCCTTCTCTAATAATAAAAACAAACATGGCTGCCACCAGGGTTTGACCGGACTCCACACAAAGAAGTTCGCTGATTCTGTTTCGGCATTCACATGATGTATCCTTGAAAGGAAAAGTTGTATTATAATAAGGTTATTACGAGGATACCTTAAAGTATGCACTCTGCAAGTACGCTGTCGCATCGACTATGTACCAATTATATTATGCATAGGTGAATTGTATTGTGGGTAATTGTATTCTGTTGTATTGCATATATCACTTTTATACAATTATATATAATTGCATTGTGAGTAATTCCTGGTTGCTTTTAACTAAATTTTAAATAATGACTTTAAATTTGTATTTTCTAGCAGTCATCAAGAAAACAGGAGCATCGTATAGTACAGGTAAATGCTTCATTTTTTTATTTTCATCTTGAAAGTAAAAACGAAAGAAAATAAACAAATGTATGTGTACGCTAAGAGACATTTTGGAATAGCCAGTTAACTTTTTACTTGATTATTTGCTCTGTTGCTTACAGACACATATAAGCAGAACTCATTAACTACGCTGATACATAACAGAACTAGTTTTACTTACATTATATGATGCTGAAATACACAAACACACGACATGCATGTCACTCATTTTACTTTTTTAAAGGGTTTTCGTTGTCGCACCCGCATGTACGACACTGTTGATAAACATTGACTTTCCCACAATCCAATGCGTTCTTCTCATGAAATTCACGAGTTACCTAAGCACTTAATTATCGCTGATGACTCTTTCGATATCTTCCAATCACCGAATAAATTACCTAATTAAATCTTAGTAACGTCTGTTTGTACTCGTTGGTCTGCGGAACAGTCAAAGTCGCCACCTTCGTTTATATGAAACCTGAATCTCGCGCATGCGTGGTGCGACAACCACGCCATTTAACATGATATTATGCTTAAATATTGTTTACTTACCACAGGTTTCGTGCCATCCATGTCTGGGGCAATCATCGTTTTACCCATATTTAATATTATATTCTTATTGTTTTAGGTAAGTTCATTTTTATAACTTTTACATAATAACTTTTAGCAAAGAGTAACACACCTATTTTGCAATCAAATATTTTAATTATTCGTATTTTGTTTTATAGTGATATATTTTTCCAATGATACATTTACTGAGTTTGTAACTGTAAATATTAAATCCAATGAAGGCTGTGTTGTGATTGTGACGACATTAAATGGTTTATCTTCTATTACAGGTAGTTGATCACTGACGTACTATTTCATGTGACGTCATTAGACATTACATCACTGCCTATGAAGATTATATTCAAATAGTGACGTCATCCTTGCAACTATATCCACAGATTTATTTTGCTTGATATCAACTGACAAGAATAATAATAATAATAATATTTTTGTTTTATTGCATCTCTAGAAAAAACATGTCTATCAGTTTACAGAAATAATGTGTAATACAAAATAAAATAGTTTAAAATGTAAAACGATCATGATTCAATGCAGTTTCTCCTAATAGAAAGAAATGTTATATAAATATTCTCCAATCTGTCTTACCACATTGACTTCAGTTGTACTTATTAGACAAATAAACTTCTGCTTTTTTGTGTTTATTATATCACCAGAATATCTGTATTGAAAACATAGCATGTTTTTTTTTTACTTGCATTTATGTATGCTCAGACACTTTCAGTGTTACTGTAATACTATATTTTAGCTGGAATTAATTTTCGCTGAAAAGAGTTTTTGGGTGTTTTGTAAGTAATTTATTTTCACTGTTTTTTGACAAGTTGAATTTAAAATATATATTTTATTTTTACTGAATCAGCTCTTCAGCGTGTGACGATATTTCAATATTTGATCTTGTAGAAATGTATTTTTGAGTTTATATAAATTTATTCACTAGTCATTGTTCTTTCTTAAGTTCATCTGATTTGCATATGTAATGACACTTTGAGCCATATTATGATATTTGCTGCACTTAGGGAGTTCTTTGAGTATAAATAGAGCAGTCATGTGGTTTGAAGTTCAGTATTGTGGTAGATTTTGCTTTGAACAGCAGGTTTGGGCGTGGTCTGACGGTTACATGTGGTCGCGGGCACTTTGTGGTGATTTATTGCACCCGTTTCAAGATACTTTCACAACTTTGCGTTCTGCCTGTCCGAAAGTCAACCGGTTTTGTGCACCTGCATCTACGAAAAAGGTTGTGAATGGTCGTGGGGAAAGCGAAACCTGCAAATCTGTCAATTTCAGGCCATGGATGATTTTGTGCAATTGTTGGCGACGAAACTTCCACCATCCCGATATTCCGTGCATACTTCTCCCGTGACACTGCCCTGTGAAACTTACCGTTATGTATAGCGTAACTTTTACAACCTTGTTCATTGAAAATCCAGATTAAATAACAAATAAATGGATAGATACAAAACAACTATGCCTGTTTGGCAAAAATAAGAAAAAAGCAGAAGCAGCCAATAAGCGATTTTACAAATTTCCATTCAAATTACCGAAATTTATTTTGCCCGCTGAACTGTGCATAGAAATGAAACTGCCCTCTCAAATGCGAAAAATCTCCCCACTAGCCTATACAATATTTTTCCGCCCATCAACAAAACCTCACTTTTTAGACGAACATCTTCGTTGACTGCTTTTGATAAAGTCCTGAAACAATGCAATATTCTAAACATCTTGCGTGAAAAATACTAGCTGTATTTAAATGTGTAGAATTACCTTCGGGTACGCAGTACAGTAGGAAATGGTGCTTACATGGTCCCTAGAGGGCGCTTACCGTGGTGGCGTGTGTGTAATTGGACAGTTTCCTCAGTCTACGCGTTGTCAGGTAGCATTTAGCAGCTTTGTGTTCTTCACTTCTTTCATTCAGTTTTATTCTCTTGCGTCATCGTTTTCCACGCTATGGATACTACGGAAATTCAACTCCTTCAAACCATGGAAGGTACTAACATATATTAGAAATAGAATTAGGTAGAAAAACAAAGCCCAAAATAGAATTAGAAAATAGACACTGTAATAAATGTAACACTAAAGCATTAGGAGATGAAAAACATTTCCTGCTATTTTGTACTGGCTATATAGAACAAAGAAAAAAACTGTTTGATGAGTGTTCAATAAATATTTACACAATGGATGTGAATTCCATATTTAAAAAGATTATGGAGAATAATATAGCTTTAGCAAAATATTTGAAGAGCCAAATTTTAAAACCACAGAAAGTAATTAATTTACTTTTTTCTTTTATTTTTATCTCTTATGTATTGTTTGTATTTATGTTCCTTACCATACAAAAACCCTCTGAAGGTTTTTAGTAGTGTAATAAAGTTATTATTATATTACTAGTCTGAGGTTCAAACCAACAACGCCCAACAGAAGATGGCATCGTCTGAATCGCACGGTTTGTTGGTGCATTGTTTGTTGGTCATTGCCAACTCCACTTAGTTTGAAAGGGTGAAACAAACGTTCTTCATGCATCTTTAAGGCAGAAATGCGCTCCCGTATGCGCAGAAAGCCAAGTAGTTGAAAAACCCTGAGTTTTCTGCCGAGCGATTCATTGTTCTAAGCACCTTCTGTTGGCATCCCAACATTAGGCCAGGACACCGATTTATTACAGATAAGTACCATTTTTTGTTTTCAAGTTGGGTCGGTTTCCGGAGCGTTATGTGGCGATTGTGGTCTTCAACAAGTGTTGTGCATTTTGACTGGCATTATACGCCAGTTCGTTCGGTTATCTAACATTTGTCGTTTTTTTCTCAGGTACGAAAGTATTTAAATCCGGAGTTTGGCAGGAGTTAAGGAAATCGGAACACACAGAGGCTGTATGCCTGGTGTCCACGCTAGAGTGTGATACTGGCCTCCGGAGTGGTCCCCACTGCCAAGTACCACGTATGCTCGGTAAACCGGTTAACAAGAAGTCACGGTTGCAGTCTTTGTCGAACTCTTTAACATTCTGTTCCTTTGCTTGACATCAGAGTTGTATATTTCTACTCGCATTTGCTGATTTATTTCGATACAATGACCTCGTAAGGATTAAGAGATCAGATTTTGCTTTTCTTTTAATCGCATATTCATATCACCATTAGAGCTAATTCAGTTAGAATATCAGTACAAACATCGGTCATTAGTTGTGGCACTTTTTCCATTTTGCTTTAACTTCATTTCCCATGCTGTTTTGTGTATGTGTGTGCTCGTGGCAACGGCATTACACTCTGATTATCAGTGTGTCTGTGGTTTTATGGTGTGCCAGTGTGGTGGAGTGTAAACATTTCCTTCAGATTCGGTACGCAGTACAGAAGGAAATGAATTTTTACATGGTCCCTAGAGGGCGCTCCCGCATACCGCAGTGGCTTGTGAACAGTTTCGTCAGTCGACCCGTTGCCACATTTAGCAGCTTTGTGTTCTACATTCATTTCGAGGTAGCTATTAAGCAGAATGATTTTGACGTTTAAATAACAGCATTATTTGTTTATTGCAGTAACCATACTCGTAGATTTACGCCTCCATTACATGCATAGGGCTGAAACTCGCCACCCTCCCTCAGGTGCATTCGAGCATGTGGGGGGTGCAGATTTCCAGAGGTTTTTAGTCCCCTCATTATTCAGGTTTTTATTTTGTTTTGTTTTCTGCACGGCTTATGCACCGCTTACAGGGGTCGCAGTTTTTACTATTCTATGCACGATAGTTGCTAGTTTTCAATTTCCTCATCTATGTATACGTTGTTACTCCACAGATTTGTTAATAAATCTTGAGATCCGTGTGCTCGTGGCAACAGGATTACACTCTGATTACCAGTGTGTGTGTGTGTGCATGGTTTTATGGTGTACCAGTGTGGTGGAGTGTAAACTTGTTTTATAACCATTTAAAAAACATTGCAACTCCACCCGCAGATTTAGGGGGCGCGCCAGACGCTTCAGCCCGCAAAAAAAAATTGACAATCAATTGACAAACCCAGCCCATCGGGGGTGCGCAGACGTGGCCTTCGGCCACGTCAATAGGAGCGACCACCCCTACCGAATTTCTAGATTCGCCACTATTCATCTATGATATGCAAAATTAGTATAACTTTGTTTGAATTCTGACATCATAATGATCAAATAAGTACTACTCAGCAGGAACTCATCCGATCTTTCCACTTTTTTCATTAGATTTTTGTTAAATTTGTACATTTGCCATGTTCATTGTTCTCTCAGTGTTTGGAGAGGTGATTTTGGATGAAAATCAAAGAAAAAGACCCACTTAGGATTTTCAGATCTGGAAAAAATATGTGCATATTCATAAAGACTTCATCAACCTGCAAAGTTTCACCAAGTCACTGTACACACTGTACGAAAGTTGTCTCATTGTACTATCTT